TCAATTATTTTATCAGTGCTTCAAAACATCTTCATCAGCCAGCCAGGAAAGGTATGTGCGGGACGGGAAGAACCACTGGAGTTGCAGAAGTTAGGGAAACTGAGGTCCCTGGGTGTCAGGTGGTTTTGACAATGCAACATAACAAAAAACAAATAGGCAAACCAGGCTGGGTGCAGTGGCTCATGCATGTAATCCCAGCACTTTGGGACACCAAGGCAGGCAGATTGCTTGAGTCCAGGTGTTTCAGACCAGCCTGGGCAACATGATGAAACTCCATGTCTACAAAAATTAGAAAAAATTAGCCAGGCATGGTGGTGTGCTCCTGTAGTTCCAGCTACTTGGGAGTCTAAGGTGGAAGGATGGCTTGGCCCAGAGGTTGAGGCTGCAGTAAGCCGTGATTGTGCCACTGCATTCCAGCCTAGGTGACAGAGCAAGACCCTGTCTCAACACTAAAAAACAAAAAGAAAAAGGCAAACTGACATTTGTTAGGGATACATGAAATTCATGACAGAAAAACTAGTAAGTATGGCAGAAAAGGATTGAGGAGCGAAGAGGACAGAAACAAATCAACAACCCAAACCACTTTGAAAAAATAACAAAAAACTTAAAATGTTTTTAATTAAGAAAAATGTCAAACCCACACAAAAGTGTGAAGACTAGTATAATGCACTCTAAAGTCCTACCACTCAGCTTCAACAATAACCATCTCATGGCCAATCTTGTTTCATCTATTATTTGGGGGAACAATATCAGACTTCACATCACTTTATCCATTTCATGTATTTCAGACTTTATATTTCTAAAAGATATGGACTGTTCCTTCTAAAACATAAATATAAAGGGACAGCCTGAGGGAATTTTGGGGGTGATGAAACTACTTGGTATCTTGACTGTAGTGGTGGATATACAACTCTAAGTATTAATCAACACTCATGGAATTATACACCAAAAAGCGAACTTTTTTTTAACTATATGTAAGTTAAGATATAAATTTTTTAAAGCAAAACCTGTGATTGCAGTGGCCAAAATACATGTAAGAAATTCAGCTTCGCTAGTCCAATAAAACTATCATATTGCATTTTTGTTTTAATAATGGCAAAGAAAAATAATAATACACAGTAATGCCAAGGAAATGAACAGCCAGTCCTGGTTAAGGGAAGTCTGGCAATATATAGTGACAACCTGCAAATTCTGCATCCTTTTGCTAGAGAGGTTTCACATCTAAGGATCCATCTCCAGAAAATCCATAGTGGCCAGGAGCGGTGGCTCACGCTTGTAATCC